TGGTAGTGCCACAAGACTTCCAGATAAACAGCTTGTCCCTGTTTGTACTGAAAAGTGAAAATTGGGAGATAAATAAGGAGAAAGCACATCCCACAGAACGGTTACCAGTTAAAATGGTGAATTGGAGTTGAGTGATAATTATTAATTGAGCGTGGTAAAGTGAAAATTTAAATTTAATAAGGACATGCAGAATATGAAAGTTTAGAGCGATTATGAAGTGTTAACAGATTAAAGACTGTCGGGACTCTACATAGATAAACGATATTGATACAAATTAAAACTACTACACGTTTATTTTTCATTTGCTTTGGTGGGTGCAGTTATTTTAAAAGTGGAGTTATAAAAACTTTACTATTTATTGCTTTCAACAGCCCAAATTATTACAAACATTGTGACTTCACTTCACATACTGTATAACCACAACCAAATGACATAAAACATAAAGACAGAATATTGCTCTTGGATCAGTATTCCATCTTTGCTAGCAATACTCCATGCATGAATCATAAAGAGTCTCTTGACTCTTGAAGGTTTATATAACAGTTATAAATTAGGTTCAGAAAAATGTCAGTAATAGAACATCATTTGTTTTATTTTTTATGGTTTTGGAGCAAAGCAGTTTTCTTCACTGTTCTCTCAGCTTAATCTAACATCCAGGCTGTAGCTCAAGCACACCTAATGAACCTGCCAATAAATAATGCCAGTCTAGGATGAACCATTTTAAAACTTACAACCCAAAACGGGGTATTATGCATGCCATTAATCAAATGTGTTCTGTTTTTGTGTCAGAAAGTTGATTAAATTAAGACACCTGGGTGAGAAAAAAAGGATTTCCTTTTAAAACCATGTTAGGAGTGACAAATATAAATCTACAATAAAAATACATGTACAGCAAGAAGAAGGAAATACTGGCTGTGTGCAATATGGTATGATATACTAATTAGAATGAACAGACAAAAATCAAAACAGAACTAATTAAAAAAAGAAACTGATTTCATTGTAAGTGCGACAAATGTTTTCACAGCCAGTTAAAGATCGGTACATTGTTTAGGAAATCCCTGGAGATTTAAGTATGAGCTCTAAAAGTTGTTCTAGTCCCCTCCTTACAAGCCCACTTGAGTTACATGTGGTTTTCCTTGAGAAGACCGACTCTGGGGGGAAGGATTGTTCAAAGAGCAAAAAAGTTTAAGTGGCAGCAGGAAGAGACTAAAATTGCACATGTCACCTGCACATTCTGGCTCTCTGACCTGCTGGGAGAAGGCTCTCCCCACACCAGCTGTTGCCCAGAGCCAAAGTATCTGGTGGGTTAAGTACAAGAGGAACTTGGCTGTCCTATCACAAAGCAAACACTGATAAAGTTCCAGCCCACTGCATGCCCCTTCTAAGGCAGGCTGCATGTGCTTGTCATTCAGACAGCACTCTCTCCCGTGCAGCACGGCTAGCTCTGGACTTGTTGCTTCTGAGGCTTGGAATCTGTTTGGAGCAATTTTATCTCTGGATTTTATAAGCACAAAGGACTTCTTGATCTTCCCTGGGAAAACATTTTCTTAACCACAGTAAGCAAGCTTACAACAGCTGGGAAAATATATTTTGTTCCCCAAAATAAATCATTTTAACTTTATTCTTTTATGTTAATAGTTTTCAATATGAGTGCTTTATAAAAATGCACAACTTAATTCTAAATTGTATTTCATATGAAAAAGAAGTGTAAGCCATTGTTAAAGAGATTGTTAAAAGGCTTTCCTAGATCTGTTTGCGTGAAGTGAAGTGTGTTTGGTTCATTAGAAAGATCTAATAGTAAATGTTTGAGACATTTGCCAAATGCATACTGCTATCCTTTGTTTGGGATTAACATATTAGCTCTAGTTATTGTATGATATTTTATTTCTAGCATCTTTTTGCATGGAATACTGTGTATGAAGTGGGAGTGTATAATGGAATGACTATCATACTTGCCAGCATACTGTGGTCTGGCCTTATGTGAATAACCTTTTTTTCAGTTTAATTTCAGTTTGATTGTGCTTTCAACAAACTTCTGTACTGCTGTTACTTATCAAGAACCTTTTTAGTATTTGAAAGTACTCAATGTTATAGACTGAACATGCTTTTAACCAAACTTCTCTTCATAATTAAAAATTGGTAAATGTGCTTTAAACAGCATTTTTGGTTCCTGATCCTTTTACAGCATTGCAGTAAGGAAGTTCCCCTCGAGACATCTCCCATGTCACACTATTTACAGTAATTGTATAAAATAGACTTCAATGCTATGATTTATTTATTCATGGCATGAAAAGGTTTTTAATGGGTTTTTTTTTCCATCAGAGTATAATTTGTGTTTTGAAAGGCAGGCAAAAGCCTACATAAAAATTGCAGGAGAATATGATCCTTCCATGAGCCACAGATGCATAACTTTCTAATTTACAAATGTTTAACACTTCATACACCTATTTCTTGCTCTTGCTAAATGACAGTTTCTCTAATCCATATATTTCTCCAGAGGAATGTAAAGGCTGTTTCATACAGTAACCTTAAAATCATAGGCATACATTAGATATACTGTGATATATACTGTATATATCAGCGCATGCTGTGTTACAAGGTACATCAGTACTATAATAATGAAAACTTGAACTTAGAAAGATTTTCTTGTTGAAGGTTGAAAAACTAAAATAAAAATGATGAACATAAGCATTGTTGTAACCCATATGACTGTGGTACCTATTCAAACAGAAGTGTAAATATATTTGCAACAAATTACCATTGTGCTTTGGTTATTATATTTTCTTGTATACTGTAGATAAGAGTACTTAATATATAATATTTCCTGTTTATTTGTAAGTAGATTGTTTTTCAGCCATCTCCTCATGTTTCCCTCTTTATAACTGCTGATTTTTTTTTCTCTTCCATGACTGACTTTAAAGATTTCTGTAGCTCTTGTATTTTTTTTAACAGGATTGCTTCTGGCAGAGTCAAGCTCAAGACTTTGAAGCCCTCATTTAATTTTTGGCTTGTTGTGGGAATCCTCTGACGGTTATTGCCACCTTCCTTTAAGTCAGACCTAAATTGGGCTTGATTAAGGATAAAGCGTCAATTACACTTTGTTTTCCCCTGTGCACCTGGCAGCTGCTCGGGTTTCCATTTCTAGTAATTAAAAGTTTTGAAGGCAAAATGCTCTCATCCTTTCATCTGCTTCACTTTTTTCTAATATTAGAATAGTCGTCGGCTACTGCAGCCGTCTCAGCAGCAGCACAACTTATTAAGCATGTGGACTTTTTCATGCCTTGCCTTGTTATTAACTAACAGTGGCGCACAAGGTTCTGAGCACTGCCAGGAAATGCTGACTAGCTGTAATGCCTTTTGAACACTGTAAGAACAGTGCATACAGTAATCTCTTTGTGGTTCGGGCAGTGCTGTTTCATCCCCCCAAAAAAAGTTTGCTGCTTTGGACAAGTATTCATTTTCATGTTAATATTTGTTAACGCTTTGTTCTGTTTTTGGCTGGCCAGTCATTGCCATGGGTTATCCTTTCTACTTTAATGCCAGATGAATTTTTTTAAGCGTTGAACAACATCTCCCTTTCTGTAAAGAATTACTGAGACTCATTTCTGCATGGTCTCACCCACTCCGGAGTTGAAACTGTAAACGACACTTACGAACCCACATTTTTTTTTTTGACTGATCGTGGCGTTTTAAAATCGTGAGTGAATGATGTTTTTTGTCGATTGCTGTAAGGCAAATATTAGCACTCCAGATTTGTTGGTGGCAAAGTACGAAAGACACTGCACACACACAGGTGAAGCGTGGGTGGCATGCCTGTCATTCTGTTTCCACCTCCTCACTAAATAAAACACACATGCCATTCATGCAATACTTATTTATTCAAGTCTTTATTCACAGGCCGGCCCTGATGAATGCACTGTGTCATCTTGTTTTTCTAGGGTGCTGCAATGTACTGAGCACATCTGATTAAACCGTGCTGTTTCAATGGAGAATTCTAAGCATGTTAACGGATACTTTTAGAAAAATGTAGTTTGTAGAAATACCGTGATTCCTTTAGATTCTGTCACCCATTCTTGTCTTTGTCTATCTCATTGATAGACAATGGGTGGAAAACTTTTTGTATTTTTGTACAACTTAAACTAAAAGGGTATTGCGGAAAACCTCTTTGAAATTGGTGAAACTGATACAGTGTCATTGTAAATTTTAAAACACTTTCTTTCACATCTGATTTTGTTTTCATTTTGCTGAGTGTATATCCATGTACTCACCAGAACACACATCCTGGAATATTTTATGTGCTAATGATCATCTCCATGGAGGTTTTTATCTTGCAGACATGCAGGTATAGCCACATCTAGATAGCTTTCCAGATTTTTATAGTTATTACTTTTTAGCTACACAAAGTAATGTTGCTTTTCTCACAGTTTAACAGTTTTTGGATTGCATGCTTTCTGTATATTTTACTTGAATGATTTTGTAAGCAGTTAGATAACACAAGATCCTATTTCCCTCATTATACTGATGCCATTTTGAAGTTGTCATTTACACTGACTTGCCACACAGGTGATGAAGCTTATCATTACAATCACAGTAGCCTATTTCTCTGCAGGCTCTGACTCCAAAGCCCATTGTGTCATCTGAGCTTTCTGCTGATAGTCTTGAAGTATATTTTCACATCTGGGGCTGCACTAGAATATGGTTCATGTAGTGAGCATTTTGGTACAATAAGATTAATGAGAAGTATTATACCACAGTAGCACACTAACATAAAAAGCAACAGTGGGTGATAAAAAGTGGGAAAATTCCAGCTCAGCTTTACAAAGCTATGTTAACTAGCTGATTGTTTTAAGGTACCTTTATTTGATTTAATTGGAACTAGTTTGTAGTTTATTTTAGCTTCATGTTTAAATCTACCTGCTATCCAAAAAGGCTCCCTGGAAATTAGTTTAAGATGTGGTATTTTCACATTAAGTGAGTTATATTCTTTCTCCTCCTTTCAGACGAGTGGTGGACACTGCAAGTGGCTGGACGGAAGAAGAGCATGGCTATGAGTAACGGGAATGGAGACTTTATGCTTCTCAGCAATGGCAGCATCCCATCAAGAGCTACCAGTGCCGGCACCATCCCCACCACCGATGGAGACGCCTCCACAGCCAAACTGCCACTGCCCAAGGAGACACAAAGGACAAAAGTGAGTCAGAATGGCAGCATCAAACAGAACGGCACACTCAAACCATCCTCACTCCCTTTAGACAGCCAAAGGCCTTCCAAGCTGATGCCGCAGGCCTTACCTGCATGCTGCCACCCGTGCCCCTTTCATTCCCCTTCTTGTTGCCATAACAGCCAGCAGGACTGTCATTCAGTCGGCGGTGGCAGCACCGCACCTTCCCCGCTGACTCCCTGTTGCCCACATCACCATGCCGAGTACCCGGCCTTCTGCCAAAACCATTCGCCTGTTCATCCAACCTCCTGCTGCCTCCAACCCTCGCCGTCATTCTGCTTGCATCACCGCTGGCAGGAGCACTTCCAGAACCAGCCAGTTCTTCCCCATGTGGCCAGCATGAGGTGAGTCGGTTCTGTGTTGCACCACGTGGCATAACACTTGTTTTGGAATGCGTTTTGCCAGTGAACTGTGTGGCAGTGTAAACGCACAGCTGTGTCTTTGCTCTTCCATCTTCTCTTTATTAAGGGTTAAATAAATTCTCATTGCTTGAGGCAAACTGTTGTTGTGGTTCCAGGTTTAAACAAGCCTTTTCATTGTACTCTTGCATAAGGATTATTTCAGTGTTTTTGTGCCAGAGAAGCAAATGCCCATTTCAGTCAAATTTCATAAAGAAATTTTATGAGCTTTGTAAGTATATTTTTAAAGCATAAATTATCATCTTATTCATACAGAGCCATGCCATGTTAACATGAGCACAAATTAGTTATCTGCTTTTCTCAAAGCACTTCTATGACCATAATGTAAAACTCAGTGTTTTGAAATTACTATGACTGTGCCCCCTACCCCTACCACATAGGGGTAAGTTTGTGTCTGCTTCACCATATGCTTTAAGTCTTCATTATAGTGAAGTACATTATCTGTACATTATCACCGCTGTGTCATGGTTAGAGGGATATGGGTAATTTCAGTAACATTTGGAAACACTAGACCACATACACATAAGTCTTCATCAAACTCACCTTCTCCAGTAAACACTACCTTTGTAGGCACCTTAAAAGGAGACTTATCTGTGCTGCAGTATCATGAGAATATGGTGATAAGTATGTATAAAATGTGTTTTTTTTCTATGCTGTACATAAAATAAAGAGCGCGTGTAATGTACACATCTGTAGATCTTCAATATTGAGAAACAGCCAAGGTATATACCATTAGTTTACTTTGATTCAGTATTTTCTTTACAAGGTGTATGGTTGCACAGCCACTATTGTTACAGCTTGCCAGTCTAAGGATTAAGCACAGGGATGTGAAGTTAGTGAAGTAACACATCACACTTGTCATGACCTAAGACTTTCAGTAATATCCCCTCCCTATTCCTCCTCTGAACAAGATGAATCGTGTCTGACATAAAGAGCTCGGTTTCATTGCTTTACTTGCATGTATCCAGTGAATTAAAATGAGGTAATTTTGTATTCTTAAGATGGAGTTTTAGCATGCAGATAACCTGACCCTGACTTGTATAGCCAGGGAGAAGCAACAGGGAGCTGAGAACCATTGAGAAAACACATCGAAACTTCCATGCAGCAGCATATTTCTTTCAATTTAGTACACCTTTCATAGATGACTGAAGATGAAACAAGCATTCCATTCCCTTCCTGTCCCTTTCCGTCAATCTACGCCACATGTCATCTACGTCTTAGAGGCTTTTCCTCATTCATCATCTGATTGGCTCTGCTCTGAAGGGTGCTGATGGTTTGGTGATTTTTGGCTGTTCCTTCCCAGGCAAACACAATACAGACATTACCAACAGAAAGCTTAAAGCAGGGTGATCATATCAGTGGCTATTTGGACTGGAGTCTTCAACAGTACAGCTTAATTCAGTCCTCAGTGATGCATTGGTGTGCAGTAGAAATAACAGCAAAAACACTTTTTGTTAGGTAAAATAATGAAAATAAATAGTGGAATGTGAAAAGTCTGTTCTGTCCCGATACATTTTGTAACTTAGTTCTTCCAGTACACAAGGGTATTTAGGCTCTTGTGGGTAACCTGCAGTTTTAGAGCTTAAGTTTTGATATGCAAACAATTGAAAACCCACTGCAATAGAAAAGCACTGCCTTCTAATTTCAATGTATTAACACAGACCAGCGCCTCCTAGTTGCACTCTTTTACTTTTGCATGTGGTTCTGTTACAATGCCAAGCAGCCTGAGCAAGACTCATGAGGGCATTAGATTAGTATTCACAAAGAAGTATGGAGCCGTTGTCTAAACAATGCTATAGGAATTCTGTAGTTGTACTTGTAATGTAATCTGAAGTATTTTTGAGATGCTTTCATGCTTTTGGGTTTATTTTCTTCTGATTGTATTAATCCTTTATTATTTACATAATTGGATAATTCATCATTTGGTTAGGTGGAATTTTAATAATCAGTTATTGGTCATAGTATTCATATCATGTTTATCACCATGTTAAGTTTTTTCTAATGAGTTTTCCCATTTTATCCCCATTTATTTGAATGTTATTTTATTCCCATTTTATCTGGTGTGACAACACAAAAATGTTGAATGTCTAATCTTTTGCAAGCACTGAAGTAAATTTATGATTTATTTTTATCCTATAGCATAGGGACTTTGCTGTTCCTTTTTCAAAAGGGGGATGAAAATATTTCAAGACATAAACAATTTGTGAATGCAATCAATATTGTTTTGAAGATGGATAAAATTTCACTTTGCAAGCTGTGATAAAACACAAAATCTTGACATTTTAATTTCATAAAATACATTTAATAGATTTATTTAACTTTACTACACTTGCAATATTTGCAGGGAATATATTTTGTTTATTGTTACTCTTTAGCATGGATATACTTACTTAAAAGCAGAGCGAAATGTGACACATTTGGCACATTAGGTCTGGTAAATGCTAACCACATGCTTTCATATTTTATGGCTGGTAACCCGCATCACATGTTCAATCTTATTTTATCATTTTCAAATAAAGAAACAGAAAAATACTTTGTTCTGGGCCTCAGTAACTTAAGTATGTTTTTGGCTTTACTCGTGGTAGCAAGTGTCATTAGTGGTTCTTGATTTATGTAAAGTGATCTTTTTTGCTTACTTCAGTTTGTGGAAATTTGAAGAGATTAAATTTGACTCCTTTAACTTCATTAGAGAAGACGTGTGTGGCTCGATTTGATGTATAACATTTGTATACAAATGTTATACGCTGTTTAAGGGAAAGCATCTCTGTAATTGGATGTACAGATTTGCACGTGGTAAGGTACAGCTTTGCTGATATTCATGTTTTGGGCTTCTAGGCTTTTAGCAAATAGAATAGCAGATGCTATTTTTATGAATTTCTTATGACTGTTTTGCATTCAGCTATTAATTAAAACCGTTTAATGGTGGGAACCCTGCTAAATGACTGAAGAAAAAAAAAACTTGGTAAAAACACCATAAATAGAAATTGTCAAATGTTTGGCAATGGCAGTGTGCAAAATATATAGCTGGTAATCTATTATGAGAAGCATTTGTAAATAGAACCTTCAAATGTTAATTTGAAGAATATAAAGTATTTGACAAGCTTTGCTCTACCTTCAGTGATTTCAGTAGCAATATTTTTGTTGGGAAAAAAACATCAGTGTTTTAGAAATAATCTTTTAAGAAGTATGCAATTGTATTTTGCAGTTATTTATTTCTTGTTTTACAAATCAGATAATCAGAATCATAATTCAAGAGTACTGTTTCCCGTTTTTAATCTTTGCTTTAAATTAAATAAGAGAAAATATTTTTTTTAAATAATTTTAAAACTAAACAAGACACAACAGTCTTTGAATGGGCGGATCAAACTTGAAAGACAACATTGCATCTAAGTCTACCTTTGAAAGTTCAGTCGAAAATAACTGGGAAACCCCTGTGGTGTCTCCATACACCAGAGAAGGGAGGGTAAGCGCTTGTTGAAAGGTGAAAGTCAGTGATTGAAAGATGAAGAAAATAGATAATCTTGCGTGATGCATTCATGTTCTGTCCCTGACACTGAATTTCCTACTTTGTAGACTACAAAGGAAATTGAACCTGCTATGAAATGCTATACACTGTGGATTACTAAGAACTTTGAATGGAGGCTTTAGATTGCAATTAGAGGTGTATACTTGGGCATCATCAGACAGACTATACTTTTCCCTCCAGCACCAGTTTAAAATCAGGTACCATACTTTTCTGTACTAGTCCTAGCAGCTTGGTCATATTTAAGGGCAGTGAGTTACACAGAGCTTGGTAAGATGTGCTTCTGGCAGGCTGATGGATTTCCACTAATTATCTCCTACTGTTTATAAAAACACCTCTTCAGTTGCTTATTCTTTTATTGCTGCTGGAAGCTTTGCAAGTGTCTGATTTAGAGCTGTTCAATAGGCCAGGCTGCTGATTTATGAGAATTTGCTGGAGATGACGCAGAATCTTTTTGTGTGTGCTGAGATTCATGCTCTTCAGCACTGCCAGCATTTGCTATGTTCAGCATATTTGCTGCATTGGAATTACTCTCTTATTGGATTGAGCTCGAGTATAAAAAAGAAAGAAGCTGTATAGCACTGGCTCTGTCTGAAGCATCAAAAGAGAGGAATGCATGATTTAATAACCTTTTTAACCCTGCAGAAACAAAAACTGTAGAATGGGATTTCTGGGACACAAATCAGTCCTACCATATTTTTTTCATGAATTGTCTCTTTGAAACCAGAAGATATCCTTTTAGAAAACAAATAGAAAAAAATCATATAGAGTGTCTCTACTTATAAAAATACATTTTTATTTATTTTACTTTTAATAGTATACTGTATTTATAACTTAATATCAGTGTTCCCTTATAAAAAAAAACATCCCCCGAGTTTGATTCCAGACATACTGGACAAAGACTTGCTGACTCTGTGGATTGGTACCTTTTGTATCTTGTTTGTGTATAACCTGTGATGGACTAGCTTCCCTCCCATGGTGTAGTTCTGTCTCATGCCCTGTGCTTCCTGGATATACTACAGATTCCCACAACCCTGACACTAATAACTGGTGTTCTGGTAATAGGTGGGTGGATTATTACTGACTTAGAAGACTTCCATATAGGGTACTTGTATACCATGTTCCCAGGACAGTACAACTGTCATAAGCTGTGGATCCACAGAAAATCTGAAGTACGTTAAAAATGTTTTGGCTTCTTAAGGGTCTGTATTGTACAAAACCTCCGGTAGTATTATACTCAATGTTGCCTTGAGAAGAGTTCCAAATAAAATATTTTTCTTTTTTGAGTATGTGTTCTTTGGAAAATAAAGTATTGCATTACTCTTACAGGCACTCTCTTACCTAGAATTTGCATTGCAGTCTACACTACTTTGATATAGTATAAAGGTAAAATCCAAACTCT